AATCAGATAAACAATTGGATCAGTAAAAGATTATTTTTTTTCTCCTCACTCTTCCTAATTAAGTTAAAGGGAAATAATATCTTGGATATATAACATTGTGTCAATCACACTGTAGTAACCAAAAAAGAAATAGTTGTTACTAAAAAACAGGATACAAATTACACAAAGGTTGTCTCCACTGACAGTCTATACACATAAAAAGTTTGTATCATAAAGTTATCAGATTTTTGTATAAGAAGTATTGTATGCTCAATCGCATGAATTTCTCATACAGTGCTCAGTCCATCAAAAGATTACAACTTTTGTTTATGGATCTCCTTGTCATAGAAACTTTAAAGATCTTGATAATAAGCTGGTCCCTGCTTACAGCAGAGAAATTCCAATGTACTCTCTGATAGCGATCTATTCCACTCGACACCACAGCAGCATCAGTACTCACGGTGACCGGGTTCACCCACAGCGCACAGACCGCTACCAGGCGTCTTCCCGACTCCCTCGGCTCCACAGCAAGTCTCGGCACAAATCTGCCACATCTGGCGTCAAATGTACAATATGATGAAGCAGGTGAACAGAACGAGGACCAACCACCTTCCGACACACTCGTGCTGGACAGCTAGATCTCGCTGGGGAGGTATATCAATTCCCTGGGGTCGCAAGACTGCAGTCCGCAGCTTCTGGCATCCAGTGTGCTCCGCAACACATGGCCAGCGAGCCCCTCTGGGGGGAGATACAATCCTTAGTTGCACCCGCGGCTTCACCAGCGCTCTCCAAAACCGTGGCCAGAGATCCTCCGAAAACTCAGGTCAGTGGCGCCAGGAGCAGTTGGACAAGTAAGAAGCACTCAGTAGGTAAATGTCTTTCAGATAGTTTTTTCCACTACCACCCACGGTATCACCAACAGGGCAGTATTCAGCAAGCTCAAACGTCTCACGCAGAGTCAGAGTACTCTTTTCATACAAGTTAATATGCAGAGCAGCTTGACTTAGCGTTCCATATGGAGTCCGTTTTTCACCTGACCGCATTCACCACACCTGCGATTACCACGTAACGTTCCTTACGTGAGCATTACCAGCCTCAGTGGTTTTAACCAATTTATGTTTTGTGTTTTTGTCCATAGGACTATTAGATCAGTGTTGTAGTCTGTCTAATTTGTCCCAAGTGGGACTTTTTTTAATAAATCAGTTTATTGATTAAAAGTTAAGTTTTATTATAGGTATGACTCTACCCTTTTATTATTCCATTTTATAACACCAGGTGGTGCATCCTCCAATCTGTCTCTTGTTGGTTTATTATCCCCCACCCAGGAGGCATGCACAGACTTTAGATTTTTTCTTTCTTCGTTTTCTTTTCTCTCGTTCTCTTTTTATAGTCTCGTTACAATATGCCCAACACCTTGACATGCCTAACAGCTTGTGGCACACTGTAATTTGAAGTGACGTGACCAAAACACAGCTTTATGGTCACAACCATAAACTCAATGTTTGGAGAGGGGTGAAACAAGGCCCATAGTGAAAAGAATACCATCCCCACTGTGAAGCATCGCAGTGGCTCAAAGATGTTTTGGGGGGTGTCTTATAGACACGGAGGATCTTATGAAAAATGATGGCAAGATGAATGCAGCATGTTAACAGACAATACTGGCAGACAACTTGCATTCTTCTGGACTCATAGACTCATTATAAAAGACTGCACGTGTAGATTTCTGGCAGAGTTGGGGTTAATAATTAGGTTCCTGGCAATGATTGGGCTAAGGAGTAGATTTCTGGCAGAGTTGGGATTAATAATTAGGTTCCTGGCAATGATTGGGCTAAGGAGTAGATTTCTGGCAGAGTTGGGATTAATAATTAGGTTCCTGGCAGTGATTGGGGTAAGGAGTAGATTTTTGTCACAGTTGGGGTTAAAAAATAGGTTCTTGTCAGTGATTGGGTTAAGGAGTAGATTTTTGGCAGGGTTGGGGTTAATAATTAGGTTCCTGGCAATGATTGGGTTAAGATGTAGATTTCTGGCAGAGTTGGGGTTAATAATTAGGTTCCTGGCAGTGATTGGGTTAAGGAGTAGATTTCTGGCAGGGTTGGGGTTAATAATTAGGTTCCTGGCAGTGATTGGGTTAAGGAGTAGATTTCTGGCAGGGTTGGGGTTAATAATTAGGTTCCTGGCAATGATTGAGTTAAGGAGTAGATTTCTGGCAGAGTTGGGGTTAATAATTAGGTTCTTGGCAATGATTGGGTTAAGGAGTAGATTCTTGGCAGGGTTGGGGTTAATAATTAGGATCCTGGCAATGATTGGGTTAAGGAGTAGATTTCTGGCAGAGTTGGGGTTAATAATTAGGTTCCTGGCAATGATTGGGTTAAGGACTAGGTTTCTGGTAGAGTTAGGGGATAATAATTAGGTTCTTGTTGGTGATTGGGTTAAGCAGTAGATTTCTGGTTGAGTTGGGGTTAACAATTAGGTTCCTGGCAATGATTGGGTTAAGGAGTAGACTTCTGGAAGGGTTGGGGGTTAATAATTAGGTTCCTGGCAGTGATTGGGTTAAGGAGTAGATTTCTGGCAGGGTTGGGGTTAATAATTAGGTTCCTGGCAGTGATTGGTTTAAGAAGTAGATTTTTGGTAGAGTCGGGGTTAATAATTAGGTTCCTGGCAGTGATTGGGTTAAGGACTAGGTTTCTGGTAGGGTTGCGGTTAATAGGTTCCTGGCAGTGATTGGGTTAAGGAGTAGATTTCTGGCAGGGTTGAGGTTAATAATAAGGTTAAGGACTAGGTTTCTGGTAGGGTTGCGGTTAAGCAGTAGATTACTTATTGCTTCATGTTTTTGGATGGTCCCTCCCTGCTCTGGGTTTAGTGTCTGTGAGTCCCAGTCAGGAGACATACCTGCTCAGACACTATGAGTACAGTCTGCATCCTCCTGGGACTCCTCCTGTATAGTGTGGCCACCTGGGCTACTGAGCCAGCAGGTTAGTGGGTACAGCTGTACCAGCAGGGTAACAGGTATGGGAAGCACATTGGGCTATTTCTCCACTACTGTGGTTTTCTTTTAGACTAGGACCACTGCTTTATTTTGTTTCTTTACTTCTATCTTGCCTAAGATTATTTTGGTAGATTGATTGGGGGCATTCTCTTTGCTATCTATGTAGCTCAGTGGTAGTCAACCTTTTCCCACTTACCGCCCACTAATGCATCTTTCTTGATGGAAAAATTTCCTTACCGCCCACCAGTTTTCGCGCAAGCGCGGAATATTTTTTAGAAAGGAGGGTGATTTAAAAAATAAATAAATCTTTTTATTTCTATTTTATGCATGTTTATAATGTTTTTAACTTTAACTGATTAATGAGATCCTTGAGGTTGATGCTGCGAGACTAAATATTTGATATCTGGTTCGATTTTCGTAAGGAACAAACGAAGGTCTCCTCTTTCGGTGATAATCAGAAGACTTCTTTATTTGCTCATAAAATTATTTCTCATCTGTGCGTCAGCTTCCCTCCTCTCCCTCCTCAATTCCCCTCCCCACCTTTTTTCCCCTTTTTTCTATTTTTTAACCTTACTTATAGCAATGCCCAGTAGGAAGGCTGAGCTAGGTAGCCCACTTACTATTATTAGTCAACAACAATTCTCTCCTTTTCCTTTTCTTTCCTTCTCCTTTTTTACAAGTACTCCACTCCTTCTTTCTCCTATTCTAGAAGTACTCTGCTCATTCTTTCTCCTATTCTACAAGTACTCTGCACCTTCTTTCTTCTATTCTACAAATAGTCTGCTCACAGACACACACACACTCACACATACATTTACAGACACACCCACTCACAGACAAACACTCACACATACAGACACACACACTCACGTAGAAACACGTACACACAAATATGCACATACTCACACATGCACTTACAGACACTCACACATACACAGACAGACACACACACACTTACAGACACACACACACATATTTACAGACACACACACACACACACATACACTTACAGACACAGACACACACACACATAATGACACACACATACACTTACAGACAAACACATATACACACATTATTAATATTAAATATCCACCCAGCCTCCCTACCTGGTGTGGATCTGTCCCTGGGGTCCAGTGGGGCTTCACTTCGGCGGGCGGCTAATCAGACGCGGCGAGGGAGCTCTAACCTTTCTGCTCTGCTCCCTCGCGGACTGTCTACTGATGCCGGGAGCCGGAATATGACGTCATGACGTCAGCTAGTGGGCGGTAGGGACCAGGTTGACGACCCATGACGCAGACAGTATCAGAGACAGTTAGCTGAGATATTTTCAGCCAGCACAGGGACATATCAGTTTACCACCGGGTCAGGGCCGTCTTTAATATTGATTGGACCCTGGGCAAGAATTTACTTGGGCCCCCTGGATCCGCCTTCCCACACCCTAGCATGCAATCACGCCCTCCACCACAACACACATACCATAAAAAACAAAACACACAACTCGTAGAGTAGTAAACTTTAATAATATAAACATAAAAAACTGGTTCACAAATAAGTCCTTAGCTTGACCTACTTGCCACCTGTAGCTTCTTTTAACCTCGGTCTAATGGTATATTTTTATTAACAGTTATACGTTGTTGGAAGAACAAGCATAATAACAATATCTTTCAGTAACAGTGCAAATCAACATTATTATGTTTAAATTATAAAATAAATAACCCTGTTGGCTAGTAATATCACAAAAAAAAATAATAAATAAAATACAACAATTAACAATGCAATTAAATAAACAATATTAAACCTTATTGTATAATCCAAGTGCACATTTCCCATTCCAATATGGAGAAAGGGAATCAAGTACCAGTGTTAAATGGTCAACCTTATTATAATTCCTGTTAGGCACCAACTGCTGCAGTAGCAGACTATTATAAAAGAATACATAGTTTAACAACCATTAACGTAAAGTGCAGAGAACCATTAACGTAAAGTGCAGAGAACTTTTACATAAAATAGTAAATTAATATTTTAGTGCAATTTAAACAATGAGTCTACGTGCTTTCTGAGCAGCAAAGGTCGTTGTAATGTTGGAAAAATCAAGACCACGAAGTATATCAGATTCAGCAGACATTATAGATAGTTTGGTGAGACGGCTCTGGCTCATGGTTGTGCGTTGTAACTTTTTTATCAATTTCATTTTTGAAAAAGATCGTTCACCTGAACTGTTAGAGATCATTAAAGTAAGGTAGATTTTTAAAGCAATTTCCGTGTTCGGAAAAGTATCTCTTACATCCTTGTCATTAATTGTACTGTACATGAATTGCTCTATGCTGCAATCGTCTGGTTTTTCATCCAGGAAAAGAGAAATGAATGACTGAAATTGAATTAGGTCATCACCAAATGTTGTGCCCAGATCATGCTTGTAGAAAGCAGACAACTTTTCTGCTGCAATGTTAATGGATTCAGAGTCCATCGCTGGAAAGTTTATAAAGAAACCAAATAAATCACACACTTCACTGTAGGCTCCTAGGCGATGTTCCAGACACATTAAAAGTTTGTCAACACATGGGAGAAAGGCCTTGGCATAAAAGGCATCCTTTGGCGTTAATTGAGCTTCTTCACTGTGTCCATAGTCAAGTGGCTGCTGACGGACATTCCGACGTTGAAGACGGCGGTGTTCCACAATATACTCCTCAGTATCTGTTAGATGCTTGCCAGCTTCTTCAAATGCATCAAATTTAGTACGCTGTTCATTAATAAAATCTTTTAACGATTTCAAAACACCAACAGCAGCATTTAGGTTCAGCTGAACAGACTGCAGAGTTTTGCTGCTGCTGTTGAAACGCTGCAAAACAGTGTTCCAGAATTCTGCAAAAATCCCTGTCTCAAGTTTGCTTATCTGATAAAATAGTCCCTTTGCAGTATTACGGCACTTGGATTTTTCTTCAATGTCAGTTGCAAATTCAAACAAAATGTCCATTATATTGTCATAGCCATGGACTAATGCTTGACAAGCATCTGCACGACATGACCAGCGTGTGTCACTTAGCTTTTTTGGCATGGACACAGAGAGGCCTTTCTCATCAAGCTGGTCTTTAAGCTTCTTGTAGCGCCGAGTTGAACCACTAAAGAATGTATAAAGAGCTTGTACAAAATTAAAAAATCTTACAGCCTCACTACACGAATTTGCAGCATCCTTTCCGACAAGATTTAATGAGTGTCCAAAACAAGGTATGTACTTAGCATATTTATTCATGTTAACAATTTACAGATTTTACTATTAACATGACGTAAAGTCATGATTTTATTAATGACACGGAGGCGAGTATTATGCTGCACTCTTTCTTTATTTACCTCAGCAGCAAAGAAAAATAACATTAAATCGGTATAAAAGAAACCAGTAAATAACATGAGGTATATCTTCCTAGCAACAGCAACAGCCAATCAGCATCCTCTTTATAGCATAATAGGCAGTGTCCAGTATACTACTTCCTCTTTCTTGCGATCCCGAACAAGGACAACAAATCCAAATAAAAAGTGGGCTTCAATTAGAGGGTATACGAGCCTTAAACTGGATCTAGAAGTCAAGCTGGAAGAGAAAAGAGAATATGGTAATATCCAAGTATAAAACTGGATTTATGCATAAATTCGCATTACATGAAATATCAGATATATATATACACATAACATGAAATTCAGTTTAGTCAAACCTTAAGCTCTTGACAGTCATTAACAAGGATAAAACCCAGTAATCAAAAAAGACTTACCGTGAAGTCAACTTACCCAGAGAAGACCAAATCTCCAGGGATGGGAGGGAGGGATAATACTCGCCTCCGTGTCATTAATAAAATCATGACTTTACGTCATGTTAATAGTAAAATCTGTAAATTTTATTAAGACACGGAGGCTCCTATTATGCTAGTTCAAAGCTGTGAAATTATGTCTCCTGTGAAGTGTTGAATAGGTCTAAAGTAGAAATCATGGAATGTAGACTCTGAAGACCAGCCGCTCTCATAATATCCTCCAAGCGACAACCAATCGAGGAAGCCTTAGAAGCCATTGCCCTACGAACCGAATGAGGCACTGACACAAAGGTATCAATACCTGCTAGAGACATAACGTATTTGACCCACCAGGCTAGAGTAGACACCGGAAGATGCGACTTTTGGAAGAGTTCCTGTTTCAAAGGATTCTGTAACGTAGTAGAACGATGTTCACACACCCATTAGTATGCAACAGGGCAAAGGAGAGATCTATCAGGGAAAACTGGGTAAGATAGATTTTAGAGGAGGTTTTTGTCCTCCGTGAAATGTCAAAGAGGACACCTTCTGGAGTAAAGGAACGAGCAACCACCTCACGAGCTCGTACGTCAGAAAAACCTCTTGCAAGAAAAATAAATAAAAAATTCAAGACAATAGAGACGTCCCACAAGACAGAGTATCGTGGTAAGGGTGAATGAGCAAACCATATTCCTCAGAGAAGTCAATATATGACAGGATGTCAACCGACAGGCGTCCAATCAAAACTTTGATGGCCAGCAGAAATGGACGATCGTTAAGGTCCACAGTGCGATAGGCTTTACCTTCATCATAGAAGTCAGAAAAATGGAGGACAGACATAAAAGGAGCCGATATGGGATTTAAATTTATTTTCATGCACCAACTATGCCATCTGCTCCAAGCAGATTTATAAGCCTGTCTCGTGTTGGGTGCACCCTTGATAAGTTGGGGAGTTGATTGCGAAACTCCCTTGACCGACCAAGGTTCCCTGAAATAGACTACACTATGATATGCAAGAGACCTTGGAGAACAAGAGGATTAGGTACACCATCTGGATCCTGAAGAAGGCACTCGAGAGATGGAAGGTCGATAACCATCTCCTGAAGAAAAGAGAACTATGGTTGGGATGGCGATAGAGGAGCCACGATCAACAGGTGCCGGACTGGCGATGTAGATGGAAAGGCAAAAAATCATAATTCCTTGGAGAAAACATTCATAGCCAATGCTATCGGATCTGGTCTCCAACTGAAAAAACGGGGAAGTTGAGCATTCAAACGATAAGCGAAAAGATCTATTTCCAATAGACCCCGTAGGTTCCAGATGTCTTGGAAGACCATGGAATCCAAGTGCCAGTCGCTGGAATCTCTGAGTTGGCGTGAATACCAGTCCGTCGTAGTGTTGGAGAGACCTTGAATATATTCTGCCCTGACTGAAATGCCGTGTCTCAGGCAAAATTGCCAGCAATCACGAGGCATGTAGGTCAGAATTTTGTATTTTGTGTCTCCAAGTGATTGATGTAGCGGACTGCTGACACGTTGTCCATCTTCAGAAGGATAGCGCATTGGGCTTGAGTTGGGGAGAAACTATGGACTGCAAAGGAACCGGGTGTTCCAAACAATTGATGTGGAGTGTTGATTCCAGGTTTGATTATCTGCCCTTGGTGGAAATAGTTCTGCATTGAGCACCCCAACCGTGCAAACTTGCGTCGGATTTGATTATCAAATCTGGAGCTGTACAAAATATGCTGTGCTTATTCCAAGCTTCCATGTGAAGAAGCCACCATTGGCGTTCATTCTCTGCTTCTGAGTCCAGAGTTACCATATCTGTGTATGATGTGCTGCCCTTGAGATGAAGTTTGTAGTCGTTGTAGGGCTCGATAGCCAAGAAGACCTGTAGAAATGGCCTGTATAGATGCCGCTAGAAGGCCTAACATTCTCAACAGTTGTTTGAGAGAGAGTTGAGAGGTTGCTAGTGTTCGCATATCTCCTTCTTTACATTGGCTAATTTTGCCACCGCAGGGTGTAGAGTTTGAAGGGTAGAATCTACAATAATCCAATATAACCCAGAAATTGTATTTGTTGTGTGGGAACGATAATGGATTTCTCCCAATTGGTCAGGAAGCCTAGGTTCTCTAACAGAGTCAAAGTCCATGCAAGGTATGTCCGGATTAATTGAATAGACTGAGCCAGAATGAAAATGCCATCTAAATATATTATAAGATGTGAGCTTGGTGAAGCACCATGGAGCCGAAGACAGTCCGAATGGGAGGCACCTGAACCTCTATTTACTGCCCTACCATGTAAATTGCAGGAAGTTCTCGATCTTGATGTTGTACTGGGATAGGCACTGTGAGATATGCATCCTGCAGATCCAATTTGGCCATCCGATCTGCTGGTTGGAGAAGATCCCTTAAACAATGCTCTCCTTCCATCTTGGAAGTGCTGATATGCTCATAACTATTGAGCAGTCTCAAATTTATTACTGGACGGATACCTTTGCCTTTTTTGGGAAACAAGAAAAGGTTGCTCACGTAACCCAGGGTATGTGCCAGAATCTCTACAATTGATTGTCCACAGAGACAAGGTCTGTGTCTCATTGGGAAAAAACAATTTTCCTTGATGGGGAACATTGAACAAGTAGAGAAAGGAAGTCTATGCAATACCATTTCACAGTGTGAAGAACCTAAGCATCTGATGAAATGAGGGATCATACATGGGAAAAATGTGTGAGCCTGCCCCCCATTATCAGTAAGAAAGAATGGAAATTGTGAAGACGTCTTAGGAGCATCCCTTAGGCCACTAACAATCCAGGGTTGGCCACTTTGTGAGAAGGAGGTTGGTATAGTACATTGTTCAAAGAAATCGGCTCGGCAAGTATAAGAGCCTTGGTTCTGTCTAAATGAACTTCTGTTTGTTTAGCAGGACAAAGGAGCCAAATTCTTTTACAAAGTTGTCCCCAAAGAGAAAACCTTTTGCCTGTGTTATCTGGCTCGTTTGGGCTCAATCTTGAGCAAGATCGATTTGTGGCGTTCTGTGACAACCGCATTGTTGGCGTTGCCAACTTAAATTACTCTCTGGATCTAACCACTTAAGATGGCGCAATCTAATTCTAGATCATCCTCCACTGCTTCAAAGATCTTGGCTGCTGAGCCCAAGATGCCCAGGATTTTATCCTGACAGTTTTGCGATGAAAATCTAAGCCTTTAGATGGCTTCCATCCTGTCTTACTCAGGAATTGAATGCTTTTAGGATTGACTGATAGCGTTTAACATGAGTCATCAGGGACTGTTCGGTGTGGCCATTCAGCCCGCAATTTATTTCACTTTGCCTTCTCAAAAGGCTTGCGTACTCTGGATGCCAATATACTTTGCTACATGGTCTGAGGAGACCACTGGATGACATAGGTCGTCAGGTTCGAATAGGGGTTCACATTGAGTGTCCAAGATCCTATCGGTGTCCCTGAGTCTGCATAATCTACCTAAATCTTGGTAGGTTTAACAGGACGTGTATCCCAAACGGGATTAGCATCCTCTTCATCAGTAATTTCATAATCAGGATCAGAAATATCCTCTGAATCCTTCATATAGGACCCAGGGAACTCCTCCTCAATATCACTGAACTTGGATTCAGAGTTTAATTGGGCTTTTGCCCTTTTCCAAAGTCTAGTCGATTTTGCCCGACTAGTAGCTCTTTTGCGCGGTGGTAAATTAATCGCGCCATCCATGACAGGTATGGTACTGTCCATCTCTATTGTTTTGGAGGAGTGTTTAGCCTTATATGAGGCCTTGCGGCCAGGCTGAAGCAGAGCAGGTGTGAGTACAGATACACCTCCATATAGTACTCAGGTAACTCCTCCTCAATATCATATAGTACTCAGGGAACTCCTCCTTAATATCCCTGAGCTCAGATTTAGAGTTCAATTGGGCTTTTGCCCTTTTTCAAAGTCTAGTCGATTTTGCCCGACTAGTAGCTCTTTTGCGTGGTTGTAAATTAATCACGCCATCCGTGACAGGTTTGGTACTGTCCATCTCTATTGTTTTGGAGGAGTGTTTAGCCTTATATGAGGCCTTGCGGCCAGGCTGAAGCAGCGCAGGTGTGAGTACAGGTACACCTCCATATAGAACTCGGTGAACTTCTCCTCAATATCACTGAACTTGGATTCAGAGTTTAATTGGGCTTTTGCCCTTTTCCAAAGTCTAGTCGATTTTGCCCGACTAGTAGCTCTTTTGCGCGGTGGTAAATTAATCGCGCCATCCATGACAGGTATGGTACTGTCCATCTCTATTGTTTTGGAGGAGTGTTTAGCCTTTTATGAGGCCTTGCGGCCTGACACCAGGGCCTTGTCATTGCTTTTGCAATGGAAGTGTCAATTAAAGCCTGCATGTCAGCACGATCGGTAAAGCAGAAATTCAGCCTCATCTCCAGAGATACCTGGAGAGGCTTCTACATTAATCTGCATGTTTGCTGTAGACCCAGAA